ATAAAATTTAACCAATGTTTCATTTGCTGTAATCTCAGATACACTCTTATGCCTGGTGGCAAAGGATGTGATTCACTGCTATTCTCATCTTCTAGTATTCTGTACTGCAAGTCGACATCTACCCAACGAACTAACAATATCAAAGTCCACCTCTGCTTCAGCCTAAATCTGACTTAGGGGAATTGAACCCCACTACATTTCAAAACTGGCTCATCATACAGATTTTCTAAGTAATACCATTTGACACAGTCACCCACAATCACTGAATGAAGGACAATAAGCAAATAGTGTGCCACTACACATTAGTTTCCCAGATATTAAGTTGGCCTACACATATTTAGCTACCTTCCCATATCATGTGGAAGATGCTAAAACTATCTTTTTCTTTTCCTCATGCATATTGATATTTGATATTTTAAGGCTTGACTCCTAAATACATTATTAATTCAACTTTCAATAAGAAAAAGCAATATTTTCCTATTCTAAAGGATGCAAAGGAGTCACTATAAAGCAGCATCACACATCACATTAAGTACAAAAGTAGCCTGAGAAATTAAAAGAAAGATGTTTTTCTACTAAGCCAATAAAGATATGTTGAGAGAAGACCAAAGTATTTAAAGCTTTTTTATACACTAAAATTCAAAAGAAAAAACACAATTAAATAGCAATTGTAGATAATACTAAGAGGCAAGAACATGGAAAGAACAGCTTAGAGAGCACTTAGGCAAGTTAAACACTTTTAACTCAGGATAAAGATACACAGAAACCTGAGGAAGACTCGAAAAATCTCAGAGTCCCCTAGCAATTGTTTATCTATGGAAATCTAAGAAAGATTAATAACATACCAGAAAACTCCAGAAGGGTGAAAATGGTGATTATTCTTACAAAGGATCAAAAAACCTCAGCAGCTGATAATTTGCAGGCCTGACAGAATACTTCATTTACCAAAAAAAAAAAAAATGGCACGTATAATTAAACAATTATTTGCAAGCACTGAAAAGAGCTGCATGAGTGGCAGTCAGCATGAAACTGCTAAGAGCAAATAATACCAAAATATTCTAATCTGGTATTGTACTAGGTCTTGTGGGTACACACAAGAGTATAATCACACAGTTGTACTGTAGTACTGCTTTTAGTATTTTCTTGTAATTACACCAATCAACCATGTCTTTCCTAGATTAAAATGTAATACGTCAGGTACAAACTGGTAGGAAAAGAGATTACTTCTCAAAGTTTAATGTAAGTGTAAGCTAGGATTCTGCCAGGGATTGCTATACATATGATTATATGACTAGGAGCACATAGCCAAGAGTCAGGACAGTGGAAGAATGAGGTTATTAACTGATAAATGACATGAAGATAAGGAGGGTCAACCAAAAAGCTGGAGGGCAGACTGTAAAGAAGAGGATGCTGCTCCATAAGTACAAGTGCAAGGTGCTATCTGTCCATGGGAATAAATGGCTTTACTAATACAAACCATGGGCTGGATAAAGGGACACAGTAACGCCATCAGCCTGAGTCAGCAGGCCATCCCCTGGGAGAGGTGAATGTCACACTGGGATGTATAATCAGCATACAATCCATTGGGCTCAGGTCAGAAGTGTCACTTCCAGCCTACTTGGAGCTTAATGCCTAATTTCAGGGTGCTGCATTTCAGCAAAGAAGAGGAGTTACTGGAACTGGATGAAAGCTGGATGAAAATGGGGGCATAACTTGGACTGCTTAGCCTGTAGATGAGAGTGCAGGAAGTGGGTAAAATACTAAATAAAGGATGCTTCAGGAAGGAAAGGAAATCTATTCTCAAGATGTGTGATGAATGAAAGTCATGGGGAATATATTTCATCACAGAAAACTCAAGAATTAAGAAAATTAAGAAAAGTCTCATATTTGGGACAGTAGAAGTCAAGAATGTATCAGACTACACTGTTAATCATTGCAGATGTCTGAGGATAAGCAGGAAAACATCTGTGGGACTTTCATAAATATGGACTGTCTGGCCTTGCACTGGGGAAGAAATTACAGGATCTCTCATGGTCCCATTTAGCCTTGTCTTTCTCTGGCATTCAACATTTGAACAAAAAACCCAAAACAAACCAAAGACAAAACAAGAACTCAAAACTTCTAGATCTATAAATCTCAAGTTAGGGGTAATATAATTCACTTTCTTATGCACTGAGTTGGATAGTGCATGTCTAGGTACACAAGGAAAAAAAAGGAAGATACAAAAACCAACAGGACATTTCTTTGCAGAACAGTGACATTTTTCTGTTGCAGTGGTAAGGCACCACAAAAAGAATAAAAAGTCGTCACATCGGCCCCTCAAATTCCTGGAGACAATCCTAACAGCTTGATTACCTCAACTCCCCTCCAAAACTATCTCCTACAGAGACAGGTCTGCCTTGCCTCAACTCCACTGGCATATTTTGGTGACTGGCTGTAAGCTGGAGTGGAGCTCGGTAAGGACATCCTAAACGATTTCTGAGACCAGTGAGCTAAACCAGTTCTTACTGGAAAGCAAAAAGCAGCAACTGGCAACCTCCTTCAGCCACCTTTTAGGACAAACACAGCTGGAAAAGGTGTTTGCAGGCATCTTTCGCTCCAGATATGAATTATTCATCAACAGGGCATTACTGGATTCCTGAGGTCTTCACACTGAGAACAGCGTCCTGGCTGGGAAGCAGGCCTCCACCCAGACCGCAAGCAGCAGAAGCAGTGATTTATAATTTCTTCAGCAAACTAGCCTGGGAGAAGAAAAGGAAAGAAAAAAAAAGAGAAACAAACCCAGCAACAAAACCAAGGCAGGAAAGCAGTCCTGAAAAACAGGAGACACAAGGAGTGAGCAAGACAGACAAGAACAGCAACCCAAAGGAGGGAAGACAGCAAGGTAATGCGAAGTGGAAAGTCAACGGGAAAACAAACAATGTGTTTTTACTAAAGCTGTTAATTCACTCTTCACATCTCCCACTCAAGTCATCCATCACAACATAAACTAAATAGAGCTTTGAGCAGCTGCCTGCCTGCCACCGTAAATGAGCCTTCTGTATATGGAGCAGTGCTCCAACACGCTGGCATCCTAAGAGGAAAAAACCTCAGCTGCAAAAATAAACAAATCAGGTACCAGGACTCTCCTCCCTACATTTTTTTACCCAAAGAATGTGTGCTATTAAGTATTAACCCCTTCTTGCTTGTTAAATAAGCTCAGTATTTTTTTGCTTAAAATACACACAACCAGTAAATAGTGTGTTCTACAGCACAGTACAAGGCTTTATTGAGCACCAAATCCAGGCTCATGTAAAATTTTTCCTCCAGATCAGAGAGGGCAAAAGGCCCCAACTCCCACTCTCAGATCTGATGAGCAAATACCCACAGACCTAAGATGCTCCAAGAAAAACATGGTTTTTGGTCCATCCTGAAGTCTTTTTTTATGACCCTATGCAGTTACGGCTTCCCATTTTTTGCTGAAGCCCTTGCTTTAGTAATAAAGTGATCAGCAGTTTATGTAGCATGTCGGGCACTGGGAGACAATGATTTGATGGATCATACACACATTATGTCTTGATTTGGCAGCTTACTGAGTCATGTGATCAAGTACTGCAATATACCAGGGGTCTCAATTTTATGCTTGTGGCTAGAATGGAGATGCTAAGGGATGCCGCCACTTAGAAAGCGGTGACTCGGTACTTTGGATTTTGAATGGAACATGCTAACACAGTGGCTTTTGCAAGCCATGTGAGAGAAAACAAAGAAAGCCAAAAAGTTTTGGGGTGCCAGCCTCAGCCTGTCGTTCGGCTTCCTGTGACTTAGGACAGTTTTGGTCTGTGCCTGGCTTACCACCTGAGCAGCATGGCTCTCGAACATTGACTGCTCTGCCTGCTTATAGGAAGGGAAGTGTCTCTCCCTGCACGTAGATATACAAATAAGGCTTCCAGTTCAACTATATTGTCCAAGAGATAGTGGAAGTAAAGACACCACAGGAAAAAGGACTTCCTTCTTCTTTCAGAAATCATTGAGCACCATGCAGGAACAATATTGTTCCTTGTGTATGACCACATGGCAATAACAGTGTAGGAATACATAGGTCTTCTGGACCTCTGAGCTGCTGTTCCAGCAAGGGAGGTTGCACTGCAGCATGTTTGAGCAGTCTGAAAAGGAAGAAGCACAAGAGCTTCCCACATGTTTAACAGAGCAACAAAACAGCAGACAAACTCTAAGAAAAATATGGCAACACTGCTAGTTAGGTCATGAAGCTTGAAGAGGTGCTCTATAGTCTTCATGAGCAAGACAGCAACCTATGTTTCCAGATAAGAGACTACTGACTATAAGCACACATTGTTTGAGTAGGCAACTACCATTCAGAATATAATGAATAAATTTTGCTTTATGACTTCAAATCATATTCGAACTAGCTGTTTGTTAGTAAGAAAGGCTAGCTAATACCAAGCTCCTATTTTGTACAAACTGGACATGCCCTGTAAAATTCTTCTTAAATTTAAACTCATTTAAACTTTAGGGTAGCTTTAGGGATGTGTAGACAATAGCGTGCATAAAACTAACAAATGCTGAATCAAAGTTAATTGCAGACTTTTTGCAAGAACAGACTAAATGAGTGTGTAAATACCTATTCTAAGCTTTGGCAACATCGCAGTGAAAAGACAAGGAAATTGAAACATGATTTAAAGAAGAACTAAAACCACATAGGAAGAGTAAGGTAAGGCTTTTGCTAGCTATGAGTATGTCTCAGACTGCCCTAGCAACACTATTTTATGCAACAAGTTAATCACATAGTCCTAAAGGGAAATGCCATCATTAGCAGCATGGTGGGTACCATTGTAGATCTATGTAGTGAGATGCAAAAGTAAATTCTGAAGAAACACATAGATGGGCAAAAACAATACAGACAAACTTCCCAAGCTGTTTGAGGTGTTCCTTCTTTAGCCAGGAAATGTTACAGAGCAGGCAAATTGCAGAGTTTCTCGATTTGTATGGGGCCACACAGTCACCTATTTCAGAGGCTGCTGCACAAGCCATTACTTTAGAGACACATAAGTTGTTTCAAAGTCACAATACTATAGAAAGAGAAAAGAGAAGATGTGGTGAGATCAAAATGGCTAAAATTCTGGGAGCTGCATATTGTTAAAAGGCTGAAATCCTGACTCCACTCAACACAGGGTTAATGAAACAGCATGGCATCTAGTCCCATATGTAATTAGGAGGCTACTTTTCTTACCCCTGAGAATCCTGGAACAGGTTGTTAACAAAGAGCATATTGGATCTAAATTAACTTGTAAACTCCAGTAACTTTCCTGAGGCTAACCTAGCATTGGGCCTTCCCATTTCTGTTACATCACGCAGCCTTCTTTGGCTAGTCTTAGTTCCATGGGCTTAATTAGACATTCCATGGGCTTAATTAGACATAGGCTTTTCCTGCTGGGTCTTTGTTTGTTTTGCTCTTCCTGCAGGTGATTAGGGTATTTTTTTAACTGCTTCTGTTATGGTTTTAAAATAATCAGCTGCAGGTCGGCTGAAGCAATCACACTCTGCTGAATATTTATTAAAGCATAGCTTTTTCTAAAATACACAGTGCACACATCATCTACTATATAAAATCCTGTTAAAATAAGAAGGAAGTACAATCACAGACCTTTACAGGTGAGGAAAGCCTTGCTTAGTCTTTGGTTCAACTCCACGTGGCAATTGTAGATGCAAACAACTTGTTATTGTAGGGACTTGTGTCACTGAATAACTCTAAGTACTTTAAATATCCTTTCCCAGTTCTTTACAAATAGATTTAGCATGTGGGATGAAGAAGCTGCATATATACAAATGCTCTATTCACCTAATTAAATATTGACCTTAGGCAGGACCCAGTATCAAGCCACAAACTTGCCATGCTCACACCACTCACCATTTTCCTCAGATCTTCCTACATTCTTTCTAATACAGGTACTGAAGAACTTCAGGAGAGAATGTCTCCTCCTCCATGTTGGTGTAAACTTTCTGATTGATGACACCTGCCCAGGGCTCTGTAGTGCTGGCACTCCATCTCCCTCTGTCTGAGTGATCCTGCATCTCAGATGGCCTGCTTTTCTTTTGCTGAAACTCAGTGCCCCCCCATTGGAGATTGTTATCCGGCTTATAGAAGAAAACCAAATGCCTTGAGCGCATGTAGACCTAAACTCCCCCAAAATCCTGTGCTGATTAGAGCAAATATGTCATATATAATCTGTGCAACCAGGATCTAGATGCATTACAATGGCCAGGTACTAAATGGAGCCTGCTCTGTTCCCCTCTCCCCTCATAAAGCTGAATTATGTGCTTTTTTATGTCTAGCTCCTTTGTTAAATCAGTAGCAACATAATTGCCAATGCCTATGTTTGGTTTTGACAATATAAAAGGGTCATTGTGATACTGTATTGTACCATTGCAGACTGAGCTTGCTCACATGGGAGTTATCATGTAGTAAGTCAAGAAAAGCTCTTAAGAACCACATGACTGAATAGGAATTAGTTGAAAAGCCATGTGGATATATGTCTTCTAATTAGAAAAATACTCTATTCTTGGGAATCACTTCTCATGCTTTGCAAATGCAGCAAAGCCCACAGTGGGAAGGTGGCATCACCATCAAGTGAGAAACTAGGACTGGAAAAATGACACACACCTGCATCATGTGTTCCTATGCGTGGAAAAGCTGAGGTGGAGTGTGTCTTCCTCCTCCCATCATCCCAAGAGGGAAACAAGTATTCACAGCATAGTCTTCTGGACAGGGTATGTGTGGCCATAAAGGACACCACCAGTTTTGCAAGCTCAGGCTTTGCAGCTCCTGCTCTTAAGCTGCCAGCTCTGGTTTCGAAACTTTTTACTCAAGAAAAAAAATAAAATTAAATAAAATAAAATCATTTCTTTTGCTTTACGTGGCCACCATTCTTTTGTTAACTTGCCTGTTACTAAAACTCCAATATTAACTAAGCTATAATAGATTTACTTTGAAACAGACTTTCCACATCATTTATGTCACTGGAGCACTCCTGGGCCAACATGACAGGTAATGTAGAAATATCCCTCCAAGAAAACAGGGGGAGAAAGAGACATAGATACTAAGAGTCAAGAATTTCTAAGTATCTTTTAACTAGCAAGTGCTTTAGACTCCTGTGAGTTTGGAACAGATAGAAACACACAAGAAGAAACACACAAGATAAGAAACACTTGGCTTACACAACAGAGAATGACTCATACGGTGTGTGCATATGTGTGCATGTGTGTAAATGTAACAGGTACAAAAGTAGTTACAATTTAGGTAAGTGATGGTAAGTGATGAATACAGTAGCATATAAGCTAAATGGCATATTTGGAAACCACTCAAGCCAGGTATACTCATTAAATGCAACTCCACTGTCCATGACAAACACTGAAGTCTCAATCTAGTTATTTTAAATGGTTTAGAAACTGATAGTTGTAAGTGTCTGAAACAACAGGGTTCACTGTACAGTTCTCAAAGGGTGGTGCAGTTATAGTCAGTAAATACCTACGATTTAAATTACAAAACACCCAGTCTCAACTCAGGGTGAGCTGTAAAGGGAAAGGAGAGCATTTGTGTCAACATGTGAACAATTAAGCAATCACCTTCATTTGTTTCAGGTGTTACCATGCTATTTGGAGAGCCCTTGTATCCAGCTATCGTAAAGGAGTTGCATACTTTGCTACTGAAGTCTTTCTCTGGAGAAGGCCTTATCCACCAGCCTCTGGACTCCAGTTGCTGTTCCATGCACAACAGAGGAAGTGTCCTCAAACCCCTGCTTGTGCTGCAGCCAGCTCCCCAGCACATCTGGAGCTGCCATTCACAACACCCTTGCTCATAGCTGGCAACCCAAGTGTCTTGAAAATTACTCTGAATTAAATTAAACTGTAAAGCTAAAATAAAACATTATTATCTGATTTGACAAATTAGTCTTTCTAATGAGGCAAAGAAGTTCCCTGCTAGTGTGAATTCTTGAAGACCCAAGAACTGCTGCTTCCCAAAATGGGCTTAAGAAACATAGGAACTGATCTTAGTTTTTGGAAGTGAACACGCCAGGCAAGGCAATGCCATCATTATTCTAAAAATGCAGTCTGTACATAGGCAGTTAGCTAAGGCATTTTCTCCCAGATGAAATAGCAATGTTTGCTTTGGAATCGATTTCACAAAGTGCTTGTGAATGCAGATCATGTATCCATGCCAGCGCATATCATGAATCCAGCTCTGTGTGCCCTTAAAAGAGCAGAGTATAATTTTACATTAAAGGTGTCTACACCTGGTACTGTTCATATGCTCTTTTCCTCCTTACCATTCAAAATAAAAATAGCAACATAGGAAAAAGTAGGGAAGATTTCAAGAATTGCTGTGAATTACATGAGAAGGAAAGTTTCAGTAAGTCTGGAGATTTGCCATGGAGCTTTGCACACTGATTGAAGCAAATTTGTCCTGGTGGCATAGCGATTTGCCAACAAGTTGCATGCAGCGATTGCGAGCTTGCTTTGTTTTTAAGAACAGATTTATGGCCCCTTTTGTACCAAACAAGGACAAAACCTCCTAGGGACAACCTGGAGGGTTGCTCTCCAGAGGGGTGTCAAGAACCCTAGGCTTCCCAAAATTCCTCATAAGGGAGGAACTGCTTTAGGACATGCAGAGCAGAGGACTGAAGAGCTTTTTGCTAAAGTCATCTATCCATCTCCCAGTGGAGGGCAACGTTTGCCTAACAACTGTCTCAGGAACTGCAAGAACTGCAAGGAACACGAGACTGACCATAGCTAAATCTATGAGGAGACACCATCCTAAGAAAGAACCTTTAATATCAGTTTCTTGATAGTTGGCAGAAACCATCCTCTGTCTGGGAGAATGTAAAGGGAAATAATTACGAACAAGGCAAAATATCAGTCACTCTCCCTGATACATATACATGCACACAGATACCTGGAAAGCATTAACTGTGTTTTAGCCGAACTATTAATACAGACTTCCTATTGCATTTACAAGAGGAGGACTTTCCTTTTGAAATAAAACGTATTGCTTTTGCCTGCATTTCCTTTTGAATTACTAGCATTTTTCTGAAGCCCACTGCTGAGACAATAGCATTCCAGGGTCTGGACTCACCAGTGACAGCGAAAAGGGAGTATCTTGATCCAGTGTTAAAAAACCCAAATGCCTATCAGTATTTTCCCCAGAACACTGTATTCTTCTATTTAGTTCTCATTTCTTCAACTACATTTAGTTCATGAGGCCATGCAGTTTAAATAACTTGACAAAATTTTCAACTAACATTTCCTGATGTCATAAATGTTTACCTCAAATGCAAGTGCTCTTACTCCTTCCCCAGCACACTGGTATAGCCATCCAGTGGGGCTTGTTAGAATTCCCTGAGCACTTTTGCTGTTTGATAAACTTTATGGATTGCCCCACAGTAAAGTACTCAAAAAAAAAAAAAAAAAAAGAAACCATGGAGAATTCATGTTCTAATACTTCTTAATAGAATTAAAGCTACTGTAAAATTTATTTTTAAGTATGTGTTGTATATTAGCACATATGATATTGCAAAAACAAAACTTGAAGTACTTCCTATTATGGCCCTATTTTCTTCAGTTGAGTTTTTCCTGGGTTACGCTAGGAGTGTAGCCAATAAAAAGTTTGCCCCAATGAGCCTTAAGCTCCTTCAAACATTCTGCTTTCAAAATCAGCTAGAAAAATACAGCTTCCTTAAAAACATCTTGAAGTACTACAGTAGTTTGTGCTGTGTTGGCACAAAGACAGCCAGTAACCTTTTCTTATATTTCAGTTGTATGCCTAAGAGTGATAGCGCTTTGCCTTACTAACATTCTTACAGATACCCATTGCTGGAGAGAGTTCGAGAAACAGTACTCACACTCAGCACTGGGACTGGGGAGGTCCATTCCAGGAGCAGAGTTGTGCAGCAGTTCCAGCCTACCAGAAGCCATCAATTTATGTAGTTTGCTGTTAGCAGGTGAAAAAAAAAAAAAAAAAGGAAAAAAGAAAACAGAAAAAAAAAAAA